ATAAAAGATAGATATAGATAAAAAAAAATTTCAGAGGTAATAATCAAATTTCAGCAAAAGAAGATTTAAGACTACTGTTAGAAATTTTAAAGCTACTGTTAGGAAAATAGTGCAAATTAAACAATTTTTGACAATAAAGCAGTTTAGTTTATAACCCTTTGATTCAGAATTTTTATGAAACACATTTTTTTTAATTATTTTGTATTAATTTAGGTCAAAATAAGTGAAAAATATTATCTCTAGCATTTTAATAGTTTATGGTTATAAAATACAGCATGAAGCACTAGGATCATCTTCTGCGTTAAAGGTAAAATGTTCAAAACATGGCTCCCTTCTAAACAATAATTTTTCAAATTTGCACTAATTTAGATTTAGAAGAATTCATCATCGAAATTTTTTCAATTTGCAAAATCAATTATTGTATTTCGAATATAAATGAAAAAGGATTTTATGTTTTAGTACAAATATATTTCTGATAATCCATTTTTTTTTTGTAACTACACTATTTTCTATAAATAAAAAATACAAAACTATTTTTTTGCTTGTAATTAGAGTGCCAGAAANGGGAAAACTTCTTAAAAGGGAACTTTTTAAGCGGGTTCCACTGTATATATATATATATATATATAAGGGACGCCGGTGTGCCATCTGCTTCAAAGGGTTAATCTTTGGGTTCTTTGTATCAAAATATGATGCAGCGGCAAATTTTAGAGACTGCTCAAAATAGACCTTACCTTTTTAATACTCAAATTGATTGAATGGTTATTTGTTTAGTAGGTCGGTTGTTAGTTGCTCATCAAAAGTTAAATACCAGATAATTTTATTCCAGTTTCTTTTTAATTGTTAATTGTTAGAAATATGTTTTGTTTTAATTTCGGATGCGTAAATAAATAAATATACGATACATTTTTTTTTACTTAAAAAATTAATTTTTATCTGTGAATCGTACAGTAGGATAACAATCAATTATTTTAATTGCTAATTTTCTTCAAAGACAAACCTCTTTCAGTGTGATACGGTTTAACTGAAAAGAATAACTCAATTTTAGACAAATGGTGGCAGTAACAAACCACCATTTGTTATGCTAAGTAACGAACACTAAACCACTGCAGTAACATTGAAATGAATTTCTCCCATAACAATTTTCGAAGTTCAAAAGTTGTCCTTTTCTTAACACCGCGTACACCAACTATTCGCAATTGTGTAAGTCTACAAAACAATGGTGTATATACACATAAATCAAAAGCCCCGCGAAATCAAGAAAAACGGCTCAGTTGCGAAAGAATTAACGTCCAATGCCCTCTAATCAACGTAATTCATATTTAAATGAAAATAAAGTGTTTTGGCGACGGAATGTTCAACTATTTCATAATGCCAAGTTCAGTGAGGCAAATCTAGAGAGGTATTTCAGCCTGCCGCAATCCTTGCAACACGCAAAAGAATTGATGCAAAGGCTCGCCAGGGTGAATAATTTTCTCGTAAATTTGGCAAGGTTTGGACAAACACCTCAGATTTTCGTTGCGAAGAAATTAAAGGACGAACAATAAGAATGAGTTAGTTGCGACTTCCCATATGGTAGGGGAAGAATTTCATAATAGGGTTTAAAAAAAAAAAAAAAAAAAAAAAAAAAATTTAATTAAAANATCACGAATTTGTACTGGTTTGATGAGAATTTTCACTTCTTTGTCGGTGATTCAAATTAATAAACAAGAAAAAAATTATGACTTCCTCCAGAATGATCAAGTTTTGGGATGAGTTTATTACGACACAACTTTGCGCCAACTAACTCGAGAGTAAATTCACGATTTCATCACACTTTGATCCAAATTGCGCCAGAACGAAGATTCAAGGCTGTGCATTTTATTTTCTAAAGTACTTTGCGATTTACACATCAGTTTAATGTAGTGTAGAAATTGTTAAAACATTAGCATTTGAAAAAGACATTCGTCTGGCAGTAACGTTTTGCTAAGCTTAAAGAACTTATCAAATTGTTTAGCTACATCGAATATGACAGTCACTAAACAATCCTGTACAATAGATATATCATAATTATCATGATCAAACTTTCGGAGCACTGATAATCATTTTGAACTAATGGGAATTTGAACTACAAAAAGTCTGTCTTTTGCTTCCCACACAACCCCCCCCCCCCCCAAAANCCCCCCCCTAATAAAAATTGGAGAATTGAATGTAAATATCTGAGTACTCGTTATTAACTTTTCCGTACCCGCGTACGGCTTTACAATTAAATGTATCTTCGACGCGATTTTAGAATGTAAGCGATGGTAGTGTATCACTCATACATAGGACAACGTAGCTTGAGGAGGACATGTTATGCTTGCTAACTAAATACCCATAAAAGGAAACAACTCTGGATTATATGTAATTGAGAGTTGAATATGTTTTGTCTTCTTTATCATTACATACCTAGCAGTGCCCAAAATGGCTAAGACAAGGCTAAGATTACATTAGACAAGGCTAACCATAAACAGTTATGGTGAAAATGCGACACGGCAACACCTGAGCTTTCTGCTTTTTCAAGTTCATTTCAAGTGTTCTTGCCGTGTATAAGATCTATAACAAGTTTATAGGTACGAATCTACGGTTCCAAGATATGTTTTATGTTATATGTTTTATCTTCTTCATCATTACATACCTAGTCGTGCCCAAAACTGCTAAAACATTCGGCAAGGATAACCATTAACAGTTTTGGTGAAAATGCCATTTTATTTTGACCTTGTACAGGCAACATCCGAGCATTCTGCCATTAACTATTTCAAGTGTATCTTGCCGTGTATAAGATCTATAACAGGTTCATAGGTTCGAATCTACGGTTCCTTGGCCTCAACCTAGGCTTGAAAATTTTAATTTCTAGTTAGCAGCCAGTGGCGATCAGGCTCTAATAACTTAATAGCCACTTCTCCTCAAACCTAACGAGTCGGTGACCATATCGATCTGTCTTTTTCATTTAATAGCCATTTTTTGCAAATATTTTTTAGCATAGATTATATTATTTTTTTTTTTAAGAAAATATGTCAGAAATCATCTACAGCTATGAAAAGTTGATTCACCAAAAATAATATAAATATATGACAAAATCAAGTTAAACATACTGACTTTAAAGAATTTTATTTAAAAATATTTGAGAGGTAAAATACATTCAATGTATACATTACAACTTTGAAATATTTCAATTGTTAAGAAATTATCCGTTCGCAGGAATTTTTCCAACAGAAATGATGGATCAAAATTTTAAATGGAGACACCGGACATTTTAATGACAATTTTGTTTTCCAGAGTCTTTCTATAAATAAATTTTCGAATAAGGTCTTGTGTTAGTATTAAGAACACCAGTACTAAATTTCGATATCTCCCCCGTACAAAACAGAGAAATATATACCTGTCATTAAAATTTATGCAGACACTAAATATTTCTTACTTTTCCAAAAATTTTTGAAAATGTGCAATTGAATGCATTGAAAAAAAATAATAATAAAACCTTCAAAACATATCTAAGTCTAGACAGATTCCGAAATGACTAGAAAATTTTCCATGCATGGTTAAGTTTAGTTTATTTGTTTATTTCAAATCGCGGTCTATAGAGTTATTGCGTGACTTAACAATAGTTACTCTTGAAATGGTTTAGCTATTATACTGATTTAAAAAAAAGAAACAGGGAAAAAAAANGTTTATAGGTACGAATCTACGGTTCCAAGATATGTTTTATGTTATATGTTTTATCTTCTTCATCATTACATACCTAGTCGTGCCCAAAACTGCTAAAACATTTGGCCAGGATAACCATTAACAGTTTTGGTGAAAATGCCATGTTACTTTCACCTCGGACGGGCGACATCTGAGCTTTCTGTCATTTCAAGTGTCCCTGCCGTGTACAAGATCTATAACATGTTTATAGGTTCGAATCTACGGTTCCAAGGTATGTTTTGTATTATACGTTTTATCTTCTTTATCATTACATACCTAGCCGTGCATAAAACTGCTAAAACATTTGGCAAGGATAACCATTAACAGTTTTAGTGAAAATGCCATGTTATCTTGACCTTGTACAGGCAACATCCGAGCATTCAGCCATTAACTATTTCAAGTGTATTTTGCAGTGTATAAGATCTATAACAGGCTCATAGGTTCGAATCTACGGTTCCTTGGCCTTAACCTAGGCCTGAAAATTTAAATTTTCAGTTAGTAGTCAGTGGCCATCAGGCTCTAACAACTTAATAGCAACTTCTTCCCAAACCTGATGAGTCGGTGACCATATCGATCTGTCCTTTTCATTTAATAGCCATTTTTTGCAATCTTTTTTTAGCACAGATTATATTATGTTTTTTTTTAAGAAAATATGTCAGAAAACATCTACAGTTATGAAAAGTTGATTCACCAAAAATAATATAAATATATGACAAAATCAAGTTAAACATACTGACTTTAAAGAATTTTATTTAAAAATATTTGGGAGGTAAAATACATTCAATGTAAACATTAAAACTTTGAAATATTTCAATTCTTAAGAAATTATTCGTCCTCAGGAATCTTTCCACCACAAATTGATGGATCAAAATTTTGAATAGAGTCTTTCTATAAATAAATTTTCGAATAAGGGCTTGTGTTAGTATTAAGAACACCAGTACTAAATTTCCATATCTCCCCCTTACAAAACAAAGAAATATATAGCTGTCATTAAAATTTATGCAGACACTAAATGTTTCTTACTTTTCCAAAAAATTTTGAAAATGTGCAATTGAATGCATTGAAAAAAATAATAAAACCTTCAAAACATATCTAAGTCTAGACAGATTCCGAAATGACTAGAAAATTTTCCATGCATGGTTAAGTTTAGTTTATTTGTTTATTTCAAATCGCGGTCTATAGAGTTATTGCGTGACTTAACAATAGTTACTCTTGAAATGGTTTCGCTATTATACTGATTTAAAAAAAAGAAACAGGGAAAAAAAAAGGAGAGAAAACAAAACATGGAGGCTTACCCATGGTGGGGGTGGCCCATATGGGGCCTATTCATCGTTTGATGCATAGTTAAATTTTGTGGGATTTACTTCTTCCGGCCCCTCTGATGACGTAACAGTAGAAGCCGGCACCAATTTTCACACCAAGCCAAAAGTCCTGTAAAAAAAAAAGTTAACCTAAATTAATATCATTTTGAGAAATTCATATATGAAACATTAATCGAAACTTCTTATGAAATTATTAATAACTACTCAAAATTTTGTGAATGGAAATGGTTTCGGAATTTGTAACTCATTGCCTAAAATTTTCTGTTTTTAAGCATCTGTTAAGCTCATATAAGTAGACATGAATTTTTACCTTGAAATCTGGCTCTTTTTGTCAGGGTACTGATTTTTGAGGGGGGGAAAAAACTTATCCATAGACAATTCCATAGAAGCTCAAATATGGGCTGAGAAATGGTTCTCATTTCATTCAGATATAGTCAAACTCAATGAGTGAGAGTACTAATTTAACAAGATCCCGGATGTAGGGAGGAGTTAATAACCAAGAAATTCTTAAAAATTTTATTTGATCCATCCGGGAAAAAAAATTCATCTATGTGTAGCTAATTCATTTCCTTCAACAGGATTAAAAAACAGTTCCCTTTAGTTTAATTTGTTCAAAAACAGTAACTCACAAGAAAACCCAACCATACTTATTTTATTTCGACTTGGAATAAACGATCTATTTATCGTATGGATATGGTTGGAGTCTCCTTAACTAACAAAATAGGAGTGTGAATTGTTATTGTTTCATAATAAAGATTAATAGAAAGGCTGTTGTATATCGAGGGTGAATATAAATGCTGATATAAATAAAGATAACACTAATAATATAGTTGACACAAAACATCACTTAAATAATCATAATATAATGTGTCCCATTGCTGTCGGATTTAGAGGCAAATTTTTATGGTATTTCTCTCAGTGTATGTACTACCATAAATCCCGATTATTTTTGCACAAAGTTGCATGGCCCAACTGCACAAAGTTGCAGTTGCATGGTCTAAAATACATCATATAAGAACACAAATATACCGTGAAACGATCACATGGCTCGGAGATTCATCCATGTCCTATATTACGTTACTGAAATTTTTTGGAAGAGTAAGCAAGGTGCGTAGCCAAATTATTCAAGAAAAAATGGTTGGTTGGTGTCGTATCCTCTGTAGAATCATATTTCATGGTGTGCTTGAATCTTTTAAGCACTTTTCAAGCACTCAAAAGCACTCAAGCACTTTTCAAGCACCTTTTAAGCACTTTTCAAGCACTCAAGTAATATTTTTAAGCACTTCACTTTTTAAAAACGCTAAGCACCCTGGTAAGGTGTAGTTCTGAGAAAAAGAACAAACAGGGTGATCCCTAATGGCTGCCCTATTTTTTTATACCTAGTCAAAAATTAAATTAAAAAAATTACGCAACTTAGGGGTCTCATATAATATATTCAAGCATGGAAGAAACAGAAAAGCTACTGTAGTTTAAAGGACCATTAGTGAGGATTGCAGGATTGAAAACATTAATGTATGTTTGATTGCCGAAAAAAATCTGATGAGTTAAAAAGCGACTGTTACAGACACTTACAAATACTAAGAAACTGTTTTGACCTCAAAAAATGATTCATTTTGACTCATTTCACCTTCTTTGCTAGTGATTTGAGAGCATTAATTTCCTGTCTTTAAAATGTATACTTTTTTTTAAATTTCATTTTTGAAATGGAATCTAAAATATACACTAAGGGCAGCGATAATGGAACATCCTGTATCTTTGGAATTCATTTAAGTATAGTTTTTATCAATGAGTGTCATCTTGAATCCTTGCTCAAAATGATTAAGAACCGGTAGAACCCTTCTCACAATTCGACCAAAATAACATTCAATGCTCTAAAAATATTAAAATTTGGCGCGCCTTTTGAAAAAAAAAATAATTTTCTTAAAAAAATTTTTTTAAGGAATAACGGTTTGGAAAAATGTGTTCACATTCTCAGAGGAAATTATTAAGTCTTTTTCAAGTATACGAGGAAAAGTGATAAATCTCCAGGAAGAGATTGAAAAGCCTTCACCAATCATGTGGGTGTCTCCCGCGGACAAGCAAATAAAAGTCGCTGCCAAACCTCGACTTTCAAACCACAGCATCATTATATTTAGAGCCATCGCCAAGAAACAGGCGTCGCCGAAGTTGGCGGCATACTTCAGAAAGAGAGCCCAACATTTAAATCTTTGTCGTATTAAGAAATAAGTTTGTTTTCTGGCACAAGACTTTTACGCGAAGAGAGTTGAGCGAAAGAGGATGAGGATTTATAGTTGTTGACTCGCAGTCAGATTTATTTTCGCCTCCTATTTTTTGCCGAGAAAAAAAAGTTCAAAAAATACAAACTGAAGGAGTAGTAAGTTGTCCCCACGAAAAGAATTTTATCAATTTGGTAGTCGTAAAACACTCAGTGCCCAGCAGAAAGGTGGCTTCATTTTTTTTTTTATTCCCTTCTTCAGCGATGCTCCATAAATTCGTTTTTGACCGTTATTTCCTGAACAAAAGTGGCAACAGTTATTGTGGAGATTTCTTGAGAGCTTTTCCAATTTTTTTTTTTAGCCACTGCGACAAAATGTTTCTTTTTTTTTCTCTCTCCTCTTTTCTTATCTGATAGATATAGATTTAGAAATTCATAGCGAAAGTGTACCCCCGAGACAGCTTCGAAAATTTGATTTTTCTTAAAAAAGGACTTCGCCCAGTGATATTTATTGCATTTTAGCAAAATCGCCGACTTGTCATGAAATACATTGAAGTAAAGTTTTCACAGACAAGGACATTGCTATAAGTAAGATACATCAAAGGCATGTTTAGTAGTAAGTGAATTATCACCTTACTACATCATATAAGAGATCCAACAAAAACTTAACGAAATGATTTTTTGACAAGTTAGAAAAAGTTGTATGCACGTGTGAGAAACCAATGTCTGGTAGGAATGAAATATTATTTTTGAAAAATAGAGAAAAAATAATGATGATTTTTCTTTTATAACATCATTTGAAAACATAATATCAACCAATCTTAAATTTTCAAGTCATAATTCTTTAAGAGGCTCTTCCTCTCTTGACAGAACTCAGGCTTCGAAGGGGTGGAGACGGGTAGGGAAGGGAAAATTCTAAATATGCATTTAATCCTTTTTATTTAATTTTCACAAATAAACTAACGTCGAATACTTACTCTATTTGACAGTATATTTCCATACATATTAAATACAAGACCGAAATAACATGAATGGCAGGACGCTGGACTCACGCTTGTGAGAACGGGAGTTCGAATCCAGCCGGCCGTGTAGTAAATGGTGACTGGTGCACGTTAAATTTGTCGGGTCACAATTTCCCCCATGTTCCCATGACAAATCAATACCACTAGGGGTACTGAGTTGAAAATTCATCGTTCTCTGGTTCAGGTCAAAATAACGATCTGTGGATGAGTGAATGGATATATGAATGGGTCCGCCCTATAAATGAGTGTGACGTATGGGTGTAGCAGAAGTCGAATTCTTGGCCACAGATGGCGCTACTAGAAAAATTATTGATAAATATCTTTGTTTTTATGCAATTAACGTTAAAAAAAATATTTTTTTTAGCGTCCCTCAAATTGGTTTCATCAGTTCGAACTGCAATAAAATTAGATTTTAAAAGTTGAGAAGTGTGCAGTTTTAAATTACTGACTCAAAACCACAAATCGCATCATTTTATTGCTTTAAAAATTTGACAGAAAAAAATTTGTAAAAGCCCTTAAAATTATCAAACTCATATTTCTTCTAATCTAATAAAACGACCTCTTTTCTTTTCTACCTTTTTGAAAGGTATTGTGCTGTCCAATAATACTATATCGTCAAAAATTTGTAAATTAGAAAAAGATAAGCAAGCCATACCGCGGTAGAAAATTTTCGTCGCAAATTCTCTTCCTCTTTTATTAATAATTTAAAATGTCGAATTAATTATTTTTCGAGAGATATGCGAATGTAAGCACTTTATTCAAAAAACAAAAACAAAATAAAACATTACAACTCGTGTCACAATCACACTTGTCCATATAAGTACATCAATTGTCACAGTTCTGCCCAACCCAGTGACGAAGAAACTCATAAATTCCTCCAATTTGACCTCAGTTTATTTATCTTGTTCTCAAGAGTATGGGGGTGCTCTAAAAATGGGAGGAGGTAAAGAAGGGTCGCGTCCCCTCCTTTTCTTCGAAGCACGTGCTACGGAATGCAGGGTTGACAGACTAAAAGCAGAGATACTTTGCCAAGAAACGCGCAAATTTTCGGCCAATTTAGCCGCCAAGCAAGCGTTAGATCTGCCTCTTCTACCATCATCCTTCCTGTTAGGGCGAACATAAATCTCCGATTGTTTAAAGCTCTAAGATTCTTTTTTTGCACCTCATTTTTTTTTTCTCAACTAAACACTTTACTTGCCTCGGTTACATTTCGCAGATGATCTTGGATGACGAATCAGTTACATTATTTACAGACGCAAGCTGCTTGTATAAAATGATAAGATGACAACCGCCATACAATTTATAGGAGACTAAATAGTTACGAAAGCCCAATGGGAATACTATTTTTTTATTTGAAGAAATAAATTTTAAAAAATATATGAAAAATAAAATGAAAATTCAAAATTTTAAAATTTAAAAAAAAAAAAAATTGCGTTTAAAAAGTTTAATTTGTCTAGTAATCTTCGTTCGTTTGCGTTCACACTGCGATTTTGTTATTTAAGAATACATAATTCAAATAGTTATAATAGAATTAAAAATTTGTAGCAATCTTATTATTCTATTAACTATTATTAAACTAAATAATTATAAATTATCATAAACTTTTATGTTGTGAGTGAATTTATCGTTGGGCAAACGAGTTTCATAATTGTGTGCAAAAAGTTTTTAAATCTGTGTAAAAAGACGGTAAGGCACTTTTGAGAAAGGACATAATTTTGGAATTTCAAAAGCCGATAAATATATTTTTCGTTTTCAACTGTTTTTTATTTTATTATTTTTATATTAACTTTTTGTACAAAACAAAACCATTCATAGGAATTTCAAAAATTTCATTCCCGTTCTAAATTCGTTATTCACAAAGCAATGTAGAAT